AAGGTGGGATAATGGGTAGGTTAATTTCTTTTAATTATTTTTTTTGTTATAAAATAATAATAATAATAATAATTAAGAAAAATTAAATAGCTAGATTAAAAAAATATAAAAATTAATAAGATAAAAAGTCAAAATATTTATAAAAAATATTTTGTAACGACCTGTTTAGTTGTTTTGAGCAGCAGATTTTATTTCTGGAAAAACAGGCTGAGACGACGGAACCCACGACGGAACGTCATGGGCATGACGGAACGTCATGGGCACGACGGACCGTCGAGGGTGTTTCGTCCCAAAACACTTAGAAATTCTGAAATTTGGGTGCTGAAATTGACTCTCTGAACTCTGTGACGGACCTGCAGGACGGACCGTCACAGGCACGATGAACCGTCGTGATCCACCGTTTCAAAACACTCCAACTCTTGAGAATTTGGTACAGGGAACGATTCTCTGAACGTCGTGACGGAAATGCAGGACGGACCGTCGTAGGTACGACGGGCCGTCACAGACTCCTTAAGGAAATCGAATCTCTGACGAACCTGCATGACGGACCGTCGCAGGCGCGACGGGCCGTCACAGGTTGCGTAATCCCAGTTGAAGTCGGAATTCTGGTTAAGTTTTAAAGGGGCGTTTTGGACTATTCCTGCTATAATTATATATTTCGTGGGTCTATATTAATAACTCAATTTCTTGGGGGAATAAAAGAGGTAACCTTAAGTTAATTAGTGGGCTATTATTGTCATCTTTTATTCTTAATTATATACTAATTAGGGTAAAAGAAAGAGGGTTTGAATAAAGAAAATAGAAAGAACAAGAGAAAGAGAGAGAAGGGAATCGATAGAGAGAGAGACGATCGAGAAGGGGAAAAACACAAAGCTTTGAGAAAATTTGCTTGCTTGATCACGAATCTTCGGTGGAGGTAGGTTATGGTTTTCATGCTTTCATAGTAAACTCTTAATAGAGAATGATATGTATTGATAGTATTGTAAACCCTGCTATGTGCTTAATTGTATGCATGCATGAACATGATTATATAATTGTGATTATATTAAGCATGATGAAGTTATTGAATCCCAAATCTTGTAAAATCCTAATCTCTTTGTTAATAATGAGACCTTGGTATAAAAAAAGGCGTGATGAACTAAAATAATGGGATGGATGATGCCTTGGTAAGAAAGAAGGCTTGATGAATTGATAGAAGGAGATTAGGGGATCGGGTGTCACGAACCGACACGTAGTATTAGGGGATCGGGTGTCATGAACCGACACGTAGTATTAGGGGATCGGGTGTCACGAACCGACACGTAGAATTAGGGGATTGGGTGTCACGAACCGACACGTAGAATTAGGGGACCGGGTGTCACGAACCGACATGTAGATTTAGGGGAACGGGTGTCACGAACCGATACGTAGATTTAGGGGGATCGGGTGTCACGAACCGACACGTAGATTTAGGGGATCGGAGTGTCACGTACCGACACAAGAGGATTAATGAATATGAGGGAGCGGAGTGTCACGTACCGACACAAGAGAAATAAAGATCATGAATCTTGAAAGATGTTAATATACTCAATCTAATGAACATGATTCCCAAATGAGTATGGTATTGAGGCTTGAGTCCTCATGTGTGAACTTGACGGTAACTGTTAATGAGATAGTGCTTGTTGTTGCTACATGTTGAGTATCATAGTTGATTTTATGATATTACTTGGTATATATTGTTTTCTATTTGTAGTTGGCCGATGATATCTACTCAGTACCCGTGTTTTGTACTGACCCCTACTTTTATGTTTTCTTCTTGTTTATTTGTGGAGTGCAGCAAACGTGTCATCGTCCTCAACTCAACAGTAATTCAAGCCAGTCTTACTACATCGAAAATTCAGGGTAAGCTAATGCCTCTAGCTTGGACTGGATCTTCTTCTTCAAGTCTTGATGCCTTGAACTTCCGGCATGGACTAACTTCTTATGTATTTTTAGCTTTTAGAATACTCTTAGTTTAGTCATTTGATCGTAGATGTTCTTGTGATGATGACTTCCAAGATTTTGGGAAATAATAGATGTTGAATTTTAGAAGTTAATGAATTGGTCTTTATTTGATGAGTTTAAGTCTTCCGCATTACTTTCTGTTGATATTATATTGAAATGTTAAGGTTAGATTGGTTGGTTCGCTCACATAGGAGGGAAAGTGTGGGTGCCAGTCGCAACCCGGTTTGGGTCGTGACATATTTAAGCTCTAAAAAAGGTATAAAATTTAAATTCGGTCAAAAAATACATGTCTACAACAATTTAACACAATACTCTTATAGCCAATTTTAACATAGCTTACATAAAAATGATTTTTTTTAGAAACAAAGAAGACATGAATATATAACCTTACTTAACAATAAATTAATTTGAAAAGTAGAATACTAATAAAATTATGCGAATGAGAAAATAAGCATAAAATAAAAAAATAGATAATACAAAAAGATTGCATAGAATCATTTGAAGTAAGGTTGAAAATGAAATATAATAATAAAAAATAAAACATACACTTCTGGAACATTTTAGAATAATAAAAATAAAAATAAAATTAATATAATAGAAGTGAAAAAAAATTAAAACAAAAAAATAAATATAGAATTAAAAAAAATCAAAAAGTAATCAATTGGTAATTACACCATATAATTACCAGCAATTCACAGTCTTTGCCTGTAAATTTGAGAGTGTAATTATCTCTTGCCAATTACACCAATTACCTGCTGTCCAAGTAATTACTATGTTCAACCAAAAAGGACAGACAATGTAATTCCACCAAATTCAGTTATCAGAGTGTCCTTCCAAACAGGACCTTAAGGTTTAAGTATATTTTTAAAGAAAAGCAATACTTGTCTCAATTTATACTACTTTTTTAATCAGTCTAAAAAATGATATGTTTCTATATTTAGTAACAATTTAATTTTAAAATATTCATTTTACCCCTAAAGAAATTATTTACGACCACCCAAATTTCTGTGGCTTATCTTGAAACACAAAAAAAAAGTCATTATTTTTGTATGAACTCCATGGTCAAATTAACTCGTAAAAATTAAAACGTGAAGTAATAGTTGAGTGATACTATAATCTCTAAAAAAAATAAAAGTAATTTGTGTGGGCAATTTTCAAAACATAGTGACTATTTAGAAAAATAAGTAAAAGGGTCAAATATACCCCTTTTATTATTTATTTGACTTTACCCTTATCATTAATATCAAGTTATTTATAGGAAAAGTTACGTGGTTAAGTAAATTTATATTATATAATTACTCATCATAGTTATAGTTTGGTATAATTACCATTCGTGACTAACATTATACATTAATTATTTGGGCTGATTTCAAATTTGCATAATTAGTCACTTTTGTATATGTATAATTCGTTAGGTATACAAATACATATGTATAATTATTTAACCTATCTACATATGCAATTCACCTCTCTCTCTCTGCCCTCTCTCAATCTCGCTTGCATCCCTTCTTCCTTTCCCAATCTTGCTTGTCATATATACAAATGCATATGTATAATATACAATTATATACATATACAATTCATCTTTCTCCCATTTTTTCCTCTCTCAGAGTCTCGTTCACCTCTCTTCTCCATATAATATGTAGTTACGAATTTTATCATTAAACCATAGCTATGAAGAGTAATTATGTCATTTTTAAGTGGTTACGTGTGAAAGTTTCCTTTTATTTATATCATTGTAGTCAGCAAACTTGTTATTCGTGACCTCAAAAATCTCAAATCGAACAAAAATAATTCAACTTCAATAAAATTACTCAATTTCTTCTTAATCCGACCCACTAAATCAAATAAATTAAATGCCCCTCTCAAATCTTCTTCATCTCCTTCCAAAAAAAAAAAATTCTCCATCTCCTTCAAATTGCGGGAATGAGTTTTCGAACCAATAAATAGATTCAGCAAAACTCATTTCAGGTTCTGTCCAGTTGTTCTTATTCGCCGTTCCTCTAAATCGTTGTGACACATTGGTCAAATATTGACCCGAAAACAACAGATTGAGTTTGTGTTTTACGGTGAAGTCATCAGCGATGGCGATGCCAATTTGGGCATTTCATCAGAATGATTAGAGCATTTAGAGAGAAATCGTGCAACGACGAGTATGACCTGTAAACCTTAGGAGATCCAACAAGTAGGGCTTCTTGTGGGAGGGAGGGCGGGCGTCTACCAAATATCCATGCTAGTTTCTCCGCGATTAAATCACATAGCTGGTCAATGACTCCATTTTACGTTTAAAGACAAAGAAAGAGCCCTGGAGTTTCAAATACGAGAAATGATTAATGGAGTTGAAATTTGAGGAAAATTCATATAGTTCAAATTTTTTCACAATGAAGAAGGTAAGCAATTGGGTTACAATTATTCGTGGGTCAGATTAGAGAGGAATCTGGATATTTTGTGTGAATGGGTTATTTTTGTTGATTTGAGTTTCTTCATTAAAAGTACAAACGTTTTGATCCCTTTCCCAAAAAATAATATGAAAATTGTACCAAAAAAAGGATACTACTTAACACAGAAATTCCTTCTTAATAAATTAATCTATTTAAAAAACAAAAACAAAGAACAAGATTATAATTTTAATTAAGTGAATTGAATAAGTACGTTACTAAAAAATAGTTGTATGGTAAATGAAACAAAAGTAATATTTGAAGGCTATTCCAAAAACTTGTATGAACATTTAAACTCCAAACATTTCTACATTTTCCAACTTTGCAAGTTCTGCACAAACATCTAACGTCCAAATCTTGCTTCCAGACTTTACTTGTCTACCTTTATTAACTTTTTTAAAAAATCAACGAAAAAACTTGATAGCAGTTAACTGCAAAAACATAATCTATCTTTTTAGAAATAAAAATGTAATGCTCAGCTGAGATTGAGCTAAAAAGGAGAAAATAATGTCCGTCCGCATTGTCACCAACAAGATTGTTCAACCTATGCGAACAAAAGCTTGATAAAGAAGAAGCAGAAACACAACAACCAGACATTTCAACTGAGAATAACAGCAAGCTCAATTTTGCTTTTTGCTAATTCCCCCATATAATATTCAATACCAATGTACTCCAAGTTTCCCAAACAGAAAAACTCGTTACTAGTTCCAAAATGCCTTTCTAGCAACTAAAAAATAAAGAACAAACAACGTTTCGAAGCAAAACTGTCCAACCAATAGTAAATATCCATACTGCACCCTCAACGATTGGCCTTGGCAACCCTCTCAATCTCATCCTTCTTCTTGATAGCATAGCTACACGTACATAGAATGAATAAGTAGGCAGAGAATATAGTTACATTTATTAAGGATTAAACGCATATAGGAGTAAAAAGATGGCAATAGAAAAGATTACCTGTTGGAAGATCCCTTGGCAGCATTAATGAGTTCATCTGCAAGGCATTCTGCTATGGTCTTGATGTTCCTGAAAGCACTCTCACGTGCACCAGTTGTGAGGAGATATATTGCTTGGTTGACACGACGGAGTGGAGAAATATCAACAGCTTGTCGCCTCACAACACCAGCAGAACCTATACGAGTTGCATCTTCTCTTGGTCCACTGCATCACATAGGTAAGAATATGGGAAGGAAAAAATGAGAATGACTACAATATCTCAAGTATGCCGCGACATGGAAATGGAACAAAGAAGACATGGTATGAAAATCTTCTAATTAACAAGACCTCAGCAAGAAAAACTCGAGCTAATAAATATGCAAAAATCAGAATAATCTCTAAACCTGTTGATAACAGCATCAACAATCACTTGGATTGGGTTTAGGTCAGTCAACAGATGGATAATTTCCATAGCATGCTTAATAATACGAACGGCCATCAACTTCTTCCCGTTGTTCCTTCCGTGCATCATCAGTGAGTTGGTCAACCTCTCCACAATTGGGCATTGAGCCTTTCTAAACCGCTTGGCTTGGTACCTCCCAGCTGTGTGTGGTGTATATGTAGGATGCTTGTTAGCAGTAGCAGTTATGTAATCCTCAACAGAAATATCAGCAATCTGCATGAGATAATAACATTTAAGAGAGAATTCAAGAGATCATATACTGAATTTCTCCTTTGAGCATTCCAATGAAGAATCCACCTACAATTACATTTCCAACTTAACCAACAAGGATTTCCCTGAACTCTCAGCAAGTAATTTTCAGTTGTATAAATCCATCATTTACAAGGCAACAATGATGAATAGGCACACCTTCTGTAAGGTTGTCCCAGTTGGCTTGTTATGGATTGGGGAAACCAACACTATTCTGTTCAACTTAATCATATCATGTTTAGCATGCATGTTTCTTTGAATAAGAAGATCAAGCCAGCAGGCTTTATAGTTGATAGACATACCTAAGCAGTGTCGTGCATAGTGTTTCAAGTTTCCTAACCATGGTTAAGTATTCAATGCATTGGACTTGAGAACTGATATGTAGGGATGAGCATGGAAAGGTATGATACAATATTGAAAACTTTGGTTCAATAATTTTGATTTTTAAAAGTACTATACCATTACCATATCAAATTAAACCATTATGTGCCGATACTTTTTAACTTTTGGTTGGTAACCATTGTTTGTTCGACTTCGACTTACATATACTCATATAAATAGAGAATTATGTTTTGGTTTCTTTAGAAACTTCTTAATTATATCATATAAAGATCTTACTCATGTAAAAATATTCAAAAGAAAGAAGAAGCAATTCCATCACTTAATCAATTACACAAAAAGGACAATTCTAACAAGAAAAGAGTAGTCAAAGCTTTCAATGTCTAAACAACTTTGAACTAATACTAGTTAATATATTTGTTAGTATTATAATACGATAAATGAATTGGATACCTAACTATACACTCTGTTAAAGTATTTGGTGATTCGATATACATTATAAATAATATCAAATGTCATGATATTGAAACCATTGAGTGAAAAATTTTGGTTTCGGTATCTACCCTACCATGCCCACCCTTACTGATATATCACCTCTGCTACACTACAATTAGAGTTTAGCTAACGCAAGAAACAAAATAATTCAAATGTTCATCTTATGATTTCGAAAATGCCAAGTTTCATCCAATTCGACATTAATGTTAGGCAAATAATGAAAAGATATAGGAACTGGAGAGGAATAAAATTGAAAGGGAAACAAACAAACCTGAACATCATCATATGACCAACGATTGAAAAGCAAAACATCAGTGTGAGGCTTCTCTTGCTGCGGCTTTTGGTTGTCCACTGCTACTACTGAAGCTTCTTCCATTTTTCCTGTTTTTCTGATAGGTCTAAGGAGGTGTCGATTGGAGAAGAAGGAAAACCCTAAACCCACTTATACTGTCCAAAATAGCCTTCATTCTAAGATTGGGCTAAAAAGCCTATTTGGCCCACTTTTCCTAACTCAACTTGCTCCAGTTTGTTTTTTTGGCTACTTGCGCAACTTCTAAAGTTTTTCAATAAAAAATGTAAAAATTATGTAAATCACATAGTGTAAAATATAAATTACCTCCAATCCCTATTCTTTTTCAATTTACAAAAAATCTTTTATTTTTAATAAGTTTATGATACATAATAAAATTGTCGGATACATTATATAGTATTTCATTTTATCCGTTTGTTGAGTAATTTGGGGGATTTTTATTTGTATGTTGAGTAATTTGCGGGATTAAAAACTGAAATTTGAATTAATTCCTACTTTTAATATGCCACGGTTATTATTCCCTTAAATAAAGGCATTAACTTGTGTGTTTTAAAATCAGTTTTATTCCCTTAAATTTTGTCATTAGTGATCTTTCTTTTTTTTTTTGGCAAAAATGATATTTTGATTTTGATTAGTGATCTTCCATTTTTTTGGCACAAACGATATTCAAAATTTCCTTGAAGGTAATTTTGTATCCGGTTTCGTAATGAATATTACGATATTGCTAAGGCATTCAGGAATATGGGAGAGTGAGGTTAAATACAATCAATACAAAAGTGATGGGATAGTGGTTGGGGAAAATATTTCATATATGAATCTAATCTCAGCAATTGCTACTGAATTAAATATTGATGAATTGAAAAAAAATATTATTATCCGATATATTGTAGAGGGCAATTCTTCTCCGATGATAATTAGGAATGATATTGGTGTGAAGCTGTTTATAGAAATAAAGAAGCAAGAGGTTGGATTCAGTATGTATCCGCTTTGCATCGATAGAAATGATAAAAGTACAGAGGAGTTACAAATTTTTTATTCAAGCAGTGGTGCAATTATGTGTATTGAAGGTGGACAAAGAGACGCTAATGCTCTAAACGTTGTTGAATCAAACATTGGTGATTCTTTTTACATACCCGAGATGGAGAAAGAAAATTATATATCAGATACAAATATATTAAATGTGGAGACGAAACAATTGTACAAGGATAAAGCAACTCTTGTGGCTGTAATGATGAAATACAAAATTAAAACTAGCTTCAATTTTAGAGTTAAACGGTCAGATACGGAAAGGTATGTAAGTATTTCATATTTGATTTTTGTTTACACACTTTAGATAATGATATTTTTGGATAAATTTGGATTATTTACATGGTTAGTATATCACTTGGTGTTGGATAATTAAAAATTTATTTTGTATAAGTCAAAGATGGAATTATAATTGTGACAATTTAATTTATTTTGTATTATTATGTTGATGTGTCTGTGAATGTGTGTAGGAGGCAAAACACAGCGGACATTTATATAAATGTTAAAATAATTTGTTTGACATGAATATAATATGAGGTGTTATTGTAAATGTTACATACCTTTACATACATTGACTGTAATTATTCAAAAAATTTGTATCAAATCTTAAAGTTTCAAGTATGCATTTTTACTAATAACTAACAAATTTATATTGGTATAATTGCAGCTATGTTTTAGAGTGTTATTCGGAAAATTGTTGTTGAAAATTAAAGGTGTCTGTTAGGAAAAACAATGATATATTCAAAGTAAGATACTTCAACAGTGAGCATACATGTCCATTAAGGGATAGGATATTAAGTAAAGTACAAGCTACTATAGGATTTATTGGTGCTTTTACGGCTCCAAAATTGGTAAATCATAAAAGAAAACATACTCCAAATGATATAATTGATGATGTTAGGGAAATGTATGGTGTTTAGATTTCTTACCAGCAAGCATGGCGTGCCAAAGAACGTGCACTAAAGTTGATAAGGGGCAATCCTGCAGATGCATATAAAAATATGCCAAGATACATATATATGTTGGAAACGGTGTATCCAAATTCTTATATACGGATGCAAAATCAGAAAAAATGAATTTATGTATCTATTCATTGCTTTAAGGCCTTTGATGAGAGGGTTTGAGTTCTGTAGGCCTGTTGTTGTTGTTGATGGTTCACATCTTAGTGGAGCTTACAAAGGGACGTTTGTATCCGCAAGTACTCTTGATGGGACAGATAATTATAATTTTTTTAAAATGATAATAATAACATTGTTTCAACATTATGTATCAAGTATATTAATATTGCGTGTTGACTATTTTAAGGTTGCATATTACCATTAGCTTACGGGATCGTCGATACGGAAAATTGTTCATGGACATGTTCTTCACACAGTTCAAAAATGCATTTGGCGAGAGAGAAAAAATGTGTGTTTCTGATAGAAACGAAAGCATAATTAAGAGTGTTAGTATAGTTTATCCAAATGTTCCACATTTTGCATGCATATGGCACTTGTGGAAAAATGTTTGTACATACTACAAGAGAAGTAAAAACACTCAAAGTAATCTGTTTTATTCGATGGCTAAGGCTTATGAAAAAAAGGATTTTGAAAAATTGATGGCTAAAGTGGAAAAAATAGATGGAAGAGTTAAAAAGTATCTTGAAGAGGCTGACTATGAAAGGTGGTATAGATCTCATGCAACCGTGAATAGGGGTAGAATGATGACATCTAACATTGCAGAATGTATCAATGGTTGTCTTGTTGATGCACGTCAATTACCTGTTTTGGACTTTTTGGAAGAAGACAGAATTCTATTTGGTTCTTGGAACTGCAAAAATAGAGAAATAACATTTTATACAAAGGAAACATTAGGGAGGAAATTTGAAGAGATATTGATTATAAACGCGTCCAAATGTTCAAAAATGAAGGTATTTATTCATATATCAAATATTATGTATCTTGCTTACATATTTTAAGATTTTTTTTGTATCAAAAAATCTAACAGTAACTTTTTAAAAACTATTGCAGGTTGTTGCATCTTCAGAATTCGTTTTTTCAGTTTATGAAGGTGGTATAAGATACATCGTTTGCCTTGAGAGAGAGAATTGTTCTTGTGGTAGATTTCAGCATGATGAAATACCTTGTGCGCATGCAATGACTATTCTGAAGAAGAAGAATATCAAAGATGTACACCCAAACTGCTCTGATTACTATAAACCTGATGCATTAACCAACACCTATGCAGTTCCAATGGAACCAATGTCGGACAAAAGTGATTGGACAGTTTGGGAAAATGTTTTGGAAGAAGTTGTATTGCCACCAAGATACAAAAAAAGCCTGGTAGACCAAGGAAAAAAAGAAAGAAAAATGCAAATGAAAAGCTAAGCGGAAACACAAATTGTTGTGGACGATGTGGACAAGAAGGTCACAATAGAAGAACATGTACTTTCTTTCCAAAAGATTCATAATGATTATGTTTCAGGAGTTCCTTTAATAAATGTAATAGTGTAGCATTTGGTTCCACTGTTACACAGAGATTCTGATTCAATAAATTTCTTTGATCATTTGGCAATGTGTTCTCTAATTCTTTATTTTTTGTTAAACTCTATTTAAATTTGACATTATATTTATGTATCAAATACTTTATTTTATAATCCTTACTCAAACTTACTTTAATCAATATTAATTGCGAAAATTTCACCCAAATTATTTTCAGTTCTAATTTAATTTAATTTAGTAATATAGTATCATGTGTGTAGATACTTAAAAAAAATTCATATTTTGAAGGGCAAATAATTATTCGTAATATATATAAATCATAGTACTGAATATATCTTATTTGTACAAAAGATATTAATTTTTTCAAAAAAAAACTGGCGTATATCAAGTGTAATAACTAGTATCACTGTTTGTGATATTATATATTTTGATATTTCATGTAACATATACATAATATAATTACGTATATAATTTTCTTTTTTTGTATCATACAATTCTTTATTTTTTGTTAAACTCTATTTAAATTTGACATTATATTTATGTATCAAATACTTTATTTTATAATCCTTATTCAAACTTACTTTAATCAATATTAATTGCAGAAATTTCACCCAAATTATTTTCAGTTCTAATTTAATTTAATTTAGTAATATAGTATCATGTGTGTAGATACTTAAAAAAAATTCATATTTTGAAGGGCAAATAATTGTTCGTAATATATATAAATCATAGTACTGAATATATCTTATTTGTACAAAATATATTAATTTTTTTTAAAAAAAAATGGCGTGTATCAAGTGTAATAACTAGTATCACTGTTTGTGATATTATATATTTTGATATTTCATGTATCATATACATAATTTAATTACGTATATAATTTTCCTTTTGTTGTATCATACAATATATTTACGTATATATAATAAGTGTTTTGTTATGACAATAATTACATTAGTGTAACTATGTCACGACCCAAATCCGGGCCGCGTCTGGCACCCACACTTA